ACATTGTTCGGGGTCCCCAGTTTGACACACACCCATTTTGAGAAACCCCCAGTTGACCTGCAGGTGAGTATTGCATTTGCAGATTTCGACTGCACGAGTTTCACTGAGGCCACTGCTCTAAAAAGCCGGCACGGTACATGCTGAAGTGCCGCGTTCACTTGGAGAAGGCGTGCTTGCGCCTTTTTGATTGTACCCCCCACTCCAAGTACCAGTTTGCTTAGACCAGTATGTGGGCAAAAAGCGGATTTCCATGGTATTTCTATCCTTTTCTAGTCAGGGGTTGCCCTCAAGACTCAAGAAAATGGTATTGCAGGGCGTGCTCTTTTCGGGCTTGGCTGAATCAACTAAGGGAAACCACAGCAACCCCACCAATGTTGTGGGTTGCTCATTTGGAGTTACTTTCAAACTAAGAAACAAGCATACGTAGATTTTGCATGTTTGAACCATCAATGAGCAGCACCCCAACCTCCATGCATGGAACATGGTGGTCGGGGGGTCTACTACCCAGTTCAAAAGGGGCTATAGCAAGGCCTATACAGAGTTGTGTGTGTGTGTGTTTTGTAAAGTACCCCAAAGAACATCAAACAGGAAAGCATTTTTGAGATCCCCCCTATTTTGACACGTGCCAGTATAAATCTTCGGAATCATGTTGGTACGAGCAAAAGTCTGTAGGTGTCGGATGCTGCTCAGCCGAAATTCATTTGTGTGTGTGTGTGTGTCTGGGTTTTGCGTGCGTGCTGTTAAAGATAAAGACCCCGTTCACCTTGGTTTAAAGGGAAACCAAAAGGAAAGCCACGATTTCAAGTGCCGTGGCGGGGCGGCCGTGCCTGTGTTGCACTTCCCAAGGCTAACTTAGCGCAGTTCAATGCACTCATCGGACCCAACTTTAAAAAGGGAGCGAAGTCACCGTTTGCACACTCCCAGACGCATCTTTCCGATGTGATGCATGCCAAGACTTGTGGTTCGAGTGCTGAGATGCTGACAACGGCAGCCATGAGTTGAAGTGAGTGGCCCTGGTTTTGTTTTGCAGTTGAGGGCAGGCCCGTGTTGCGGGTTTTTTGATTGGGACAGCCAAGGACATCATCCCATTTGGACAGGGTTTTGAGGCAAATCCTTTTACGACTCTTTTAACGGCGCCAGCTTGAAACCAACTATGTGACACATTTGCGGGGTCAGGGCTCGTGTACAGGCTGTGACTCCAGAGTTCGAAAGGAATGGCGAGCAAGTGGGAGTAAAACAAATCTCACTCAGATGTAATTAGGTCCTTTGCTTGGGTATCCCTCAATTCAGGTGTTGGAATCGTATTCGGGCTTGTGTCTTTGTTGCAATACCGTTAACAAGAAGCAGAGTTGACTTTTGGCCAATCCACTCGGGAACCCGCTGCCCGAGCCCGCGAGGTGTCCTTGGAAGACTTTAAGTCCACCATCGGCTCTGCGAATCTCAAGGAGCCCTTTGAGCTTCTTTTCCCGACGCGCCCTTAGGGCCTTAGGGCGACGATTCAAGGCAGAGCGCGAGTTCGCGGCCCTTGGAAACAGTCCGTCCACGAACAGTCCGCGTTACGAATCCTTGGGGCCCTCCGAAATCAAGGACCGGCAAAAGGGGTGCCGCATGTCTTTTCTCCCTGACCTTGTCGAGCCACGCTTTTTTTTATTAACACTCTTCCTGCAACCTCCTTTTGGGGGTTCCGTGTTGTAGAGTACTTGAATCTGATGAATGGAGCCAAGACCATATGTCCGAGGGATGGTTTTGAATGCGAAAGGGCATCACAGAAATGGATACGTGTTCTCTCTTTTATTTGGGCCGGCTGGGAGGGGGGGGGGGTGGGTGGGTGGGTGGGTGGGTGGGTGGGTGGGTGGGTGGGTGGGTGGGTGGGTGGGTGGGTGGGTGGGTGGGTGGGTGGGTGGGTGGGTGGGTGGGTGGGTGGGTGGGTGGGTGGGTGGGTGGGTGGGTGGGTGGGTGGGTGGGTGGGTGGGTGGGTGGGTGGGTGGGTGGGTGGGTGGGTGGGTGGGTGGGTGGGTGGGTGGGTGGCGGAGGTGCGTCTTCCTCGCATCGCCCATTCTTCCAATTGTGAATTGGTGTAATCATCGCAGTTTGGGCCAATGTGTCATGTTTTTATTAGTAGGGTTGTTAGGTGGATTTCAAGGGAATCCTGTTGAACATCAAATCTCAAAAGGCACGGGCAAGGTTTTGAGGGGTTGCTCAAAACAGGAAAGGAGAGAGCATTGACTCCTTTGGTTCCTTTCAACCAATGGTTTACCCTTCTAGCATTTTTGGAACCACGCTGAAAGGTTCTCCATCTCCACTTTACTGGACGGGCAAAAGCACGCAGGTGTGGGGTTGAACGAAGGGGCGAGTTGCACTATTTCCATGACTCACTTGGCTTCCCCTTTCGCCTAGGGCGAACCGCCGGGAGGCGCGCTACGCACGGCCATGGGGATGTCATGGCGGGTGTGCAAATAGGGCAGACAAAAACGGAAAATTGGTGTACACAACCAAGCCCAGATCCCTTTGAACAGGGAATCCAGAAGTTAAAGCAACATTCAACATGTTTAAACAGGGAGGATGGCGCAAATAGGAGTTCCCTGTGGAACCATGATAGAACAGCAGCCTTTTTGGTGGTTCAGTTTCTTTTTGGTGGCTTGATGTTTCACTGGGAACTCAACGAGAGACTGACAAAACCTTTTGCTTGGCCTTAGGAGTTTGTTCAACGTTATCGGCTTGGGGGGGGGTCCTTATGTTTCCACATATCCGCAACGTTTTCGACCTTTCAGTACCATAGTAATACACAATCCGCCCCTGCAGCTCGAAAATAGCAACTTTTGCACAATTGTAGTACGCGAAGTACGCTGCCGCGGCTCCAGCTTGATAATCGCAACTTTGTAGTCAAGTCCAGTACGCGAAAAACACTTCCGTTAGCTGCAAGCTCGAAAATCGCGTCTCAGGGTAAATCGTTGTTTCTTTTTGTTTGGGGGGCGGCGGGTCTGGATCATTTTCCAGGTTTTTTTGCAGTTTGAACATGCCAACCAACCCCTCCCTCCTAAAGTAGTCTTCGCAGGTTTTGTCCAGGTTTTTTGCAGTTTGAACATGCCAACCAACCCCTCCCTCCTAAAGTAGTCTTTGCAGATTTTGTCCGTGGCTCAGGTGGTAAAACATGGAACTGGGCACCTCTATGGGGAAATGGAAATATCCTCAAGAGTCGGTCGTTCCCTCTTGGCTTCCCTTGGATCCATCTCTGAAGAATAGTAGCGAATGGAGATGGAACGTGGGTGAGTACTTGGGAAAGCACTAGAATGGAAAGGAATCGCTTTCCCGGTCTCTTACCCTTTTCCCTATCTCCTGCTCTCTCTCGCTCGCGGGCAGGACCTTGAATTCTCAATGAGTGAGAGGAGGTAACAACAACATGATAATCACAATGAGGGAGAGCCCGCGCGCCTCCTCGTATATCCCATTATCTATGTTCCGTCTTAGCCCTCCATCAGGTAGCATTCCAAAATCCAACATGAAAAGATTGGAATGGCAGAGAGATGAGAGAAAGGAAAGACAATGGTACTGGATAGAGATAACGAAACGACGAAACACATGCATCCTACAAAAAAGCCAAACCCATGTTTGACACGTTTTGTGGCAACCAACGATCCTGGATTCCGCATGATTGAAGAGAGTTGCGTTGTTTGTTGGAACAAGGCTCTTCTGATGAAGGCTGGAAGAAACATACATCCTTAATATGCAGGAAGCAGGATGAAACTATGCAAGAGACCCCTTTAGAAATGGGGAGGCCGGTGACGCCTGGATTTCGATTCGTACAGTCATTCCCCTTTGTGGGCGAAACTAGAAACTGGAATTGTGGGACGCCCCACCCCTTCCCCTCGAGGTTGGAGGGTTTGTTCCATTTTTTCAGATCCCCAACACAGGGTCTCTTTGGAGTTGCGTTCCTTTCACATTGTTGTAAATGTCGGGGTTCTACATTCGGATGAACATGTGTGTTGAGAGGTGTGGGTGTACCCTTTGGCCCCAGCAGATTGTTAAGTTCATCCCTAAAAGGCCCCTAGTTTTGAGACCATGAGGGAAATTGGGGCTCTTGTGACTGGAATCCACGAAATAAGTTAGTTATATTCACTAGTCATTGGGATATGTTTACAATTATTGTTTCTTGGGCATGATGGAAAATCAGCTTGGCCAAGCCCAGAATCCCATGCTGAAGAAAGGGCACACGAGTTCAGACCAGACAAGTTTGGGAGCCTCCCAAAAGAGACAAGACATGTTGAATGATCTATTTTGTTTTGGGGTTCCCATGGGTTCCCATTTCAGGGGTCCTTTTTGCAAGAAGCCACTTTTGGGGTCTCTTCTTCGCGCGTGCCAGGTGGCAGATGCTTTCGTAATCTTCAAGAACAAAGAGTCGCAAAGACGGGTGTCCGCGGCCCTGCTTTTGCCATGCACTTCCAGTGCCCGTGAATATGCCCCCTTGAGGTGGTATTTTGCTACATGTTCTGTTCCAGCTTTCGGAAGGTTGCCCTAGTTTCCGTATATTTACCTTTGGTTGCCAGTTTCAAGCAGCTTTCCTGCTGGTAGGCTGCTTCGCAGGAGCTTGGGCAACAAGCTTGGTTTTTGTTCAGGGTACCCTGATGGTGTTCAAACCAAGGGGTGTCGCACATTTGGATGTTTCCGCCTATTGAGAGACAAGCCGCACAAGCCCGTTTAGCGAATCAATGGGTTTGTCTCCAAACAAGGGGTGGTGTCCATTTCCTTTCCCTTGAAAACAGACCTCAGTCCATGTTGCTAGAGGATCGGATCAGTGGCTCCGTGCCGTCCCATCCTAGCAGCCCACAGAAAAGAAACACCCCAAAAATTCAACAGAATACCCCGAATCAAACGGGGTCTCAAAATTAGGGGACTTCCAAAACGGGGGCGGGGTGGTTTCAATCCCTTACCTTTAAAACCAGCCAGAAAAGGTCACCCCCAGAAAACAAAAAAAGAAAAACACCCACCCACACCTATGCGCGATGCCATTGAGGCATGAACTGAACGAGCGTGCCATTGGCGAGTGGCAGCTGCGGCTCATGTCTGATGCACAGCTGCCGGCTTTTTTGGCTGCTTCAAAGGGAGAAGGACATAATATTGTTGTGTACCTCGATTTTTTTACACCCAACATGCAAAGTAACACGGCACGCAAGCTGGGGCCCTTCCAAAGTCAGATTCAGATGCCTCTAAACCGGCCAGTTGTGTGGGATCTTTGCAGGAGAGGAATTAGAATTGGGTTGTAGAGTAAGAAGGTTAAACGGTTAAACCAAACTTAGTCGAGATAGGATGAGTCAGCTATAACTAGTTATTGAGCGCGTATCTAATTGTTTGCGTACAAGCCGGCTGCTGGAAACTATCCAGAAACTTAGCCACTAGTGGCCAAGTACGAAGATTAGGAAGGTTTTGGCGAGTTTCCTCTAGAATTTCGTGTAGCTAGTTCCTTAGGTACTGGTTTGGGTGCTAAAAAGCCAAACATGTTGGCTTCCCCTAAAGGAGACCAAAAGGGGATGGATATTTCTATTTGTGTAGATTCATTATTACGCCCGACCTAGTCGTAGCGTTGTGCTCAGCTACTTGTTCTCAGGTACTTGCGCAGGCTTTATTCAGTTTTCGTTGTAGTCTTTTTCAGGGCTCCCTGTATTTGTCTTTCGGGTACTTTGAACCTGTTGGCCCATAGGGGAGTTTCCCGGTGATGCTTGAAGGGGGAATATGGGTCTGTCTCGAAATAGGACGTCCCTTTTTGTGAGATCTCCTCCAAAACAATTTGATATTTAAGGCAGACTAAAAGTTGAAACATGATCTGGAACACCTGCACCAGTTGGTGGGTGGATTATTTTATTATATATAAGGTTTCACCATGTTTCATCCATCAACTGCAGGATTTTGTCCATCTTGCAAAGTTATACTTAAGGTGGCAGGGTACGTCAGGTATCCTGCAAATTTGGTTCTCTATTTTCCTGACTCGAGTCGCACTCAGATTCAGATTCGTACGGGATGACCACAAGCAGGTACGGCCACCCTTGTGGATCTTACATGGTTCTGGGTAGACCATTTTACTACCGATCGGTTTTGATTGTGACTCGCTTCCTCACTTCCTGCGTTCCTGGACCTTAAACTTGTTGGGAAGAAAAGTTTGGCGGCAAGTAAAAAGTGGGATCAGAAGTGAGCTTTACTAACCACTTTTCTGACAAGGCCCACGAGCTCCTGGGCGGTTGAGGATGCCACCGCCGCCGGGGAGTATCAACGCCAGGCTGGGGACGCTTGGTGGAGCCGTCAGATGGAAAGCGTCAGCCTTCCGGTGTCAGACGCAGTGGGTTCCCAAAAGTGGTTGCGTTTTGAGGGTTCAAAATTATTTCTGGGGGGTTCTCTTCAAACCAGCATTTAAGAGGTACTTTTGAGGGTGTGAATGATGTGACTTAAACGGACCCAGCTTAGTCACATTACCCAGTGGATTCAGTGGATGAAAGCTCCTGTGGATTACAACCTCTGGAATTTTTACCCAGTGCCTCCAGGCAAGCCACTATGGGAACCCCTTTCGGTTCCTTACCCTTAGCTTGCTCCTCATTACCTAAAACAGAATAGTTATAGTCTGATACCACTGGGTAAGGAGATACATTCGGGGCGGGCTGGTGTTGTGTTGGGCTAAACAACTTCCAGCTTTTTGCTACTATGACAATTCTCTCAATTGGTTTTCAAGTATCCCACATTCACGTTCTAGTGATTTCGCCCCTCATTTTGTGTGTAAATACTTATTCTACCAAGAATACTGAGGTGCCCCCAAAACGATCGCCCTTTTGGTTTCCCTATGAGTGGCTGACATGTGGCTGTGGTCAACCTCAGGAGGTGGACCCGCCGGAGAAGGCGCCAAAGGCGCCGACTGCGAGCTCGAGCCCGGCGAACCCCCCCGGGTCCGGACCGGAGAAAGCGGACTTCGCGGTAGCGGACAAGGCGGGGAAGGTGAGCCACGTACTCGGGGTTGAGTCAAGATGTCAACATTTGCGGGCGACGCAACCGGTTGAAACATGTTTGAAACATGCTTGCTTGAATATCCATTGTTTAAACAACACCCTGGTGGTTCCGCTTTGTGGCGAGGGCCTGTTTATGCCATTTGGCCAAACCTGGACTGCGGGCTTCAGTTCGCTTCTGGTTTGGTAACGGAACCCAACAAGCGGTCCCCACAAAATGCCGCGCGGTGTCCGGTTGCGCGAGGTTCGCAACGGCTACCGCTCGGCCAATACTGCCGCGGAGGTGACCGAGCGCCTGCCTTAGGGACAGATCGGCGTTTGCGAGGGGCTGACCAGGTAACCACCGTCCAACGAGACGAGCAAAATGGAGGTGTTTAATCATTGAGTGATCAACATCAATACTCTAGGTGGGCCGAGAAAAGCAGCTTGTGCCAATGCCAGACTGAAGCGGAATAGGAAGCAACAAAAACAAGCCGCCAAAACCAGCCTTGAATTTTGGGGAATAAGGACGAAACTGAAAGCCTGGAAAAAAACGCACCGGCTTTTAGCTTCAGGTGTTTTGGCTTAAGAAGCATTTGCAAGGGAAATGTGTTCAAACCCATATTCGGAGTTTTTTGTGGGCGCTTCACTTTTTCAGGCACTGTCTTTCTTTCTCAAGCACGGAGTCAGGTTGCCACCAATCAAGGCCAAGGTTGCAGTACAATCGCAAATCTTCCACTTGCAAGTAAGCAGCAGCCTATCACCTAACCGTGAGAAACCATTTAAGCGGTCCCTGTTTCAAGGCGAAACGGTTTCCCATTTATCCCCATGTCAACTCTATCATGCTTTCCCTGTTCATTTCACAGCCAAAGTGCAACAATCGAAAGCATGTTGGGCCTTGCACGCAACAGTGGTCCAGTTTGCGCAAGTGTCCTGCTCATTCCATTGTTTGAACACGCTCGCTCAGTACCAACACTCGCCCTAAGAATCTGACAGTAGAAATGATAGGTGAATTTGTTGGACCCCCAAGACTAAAAGTAGACCAATAATAGAAAACCTGAAGGTCAGAAGGTTGTCTTTGGGCAAGTGAGGGCCAGCTTGCGTACAATTCTGTGAGGGCTGCTGTCAAGACAGCTCGTTAACGATAAGCGGACCCTCCTCGAAGAAGCTGATGAGTCGTGCTAGCCGCTAGGGTACTGCCGCAACGGCGAAGACGCCACCCAGATCAAGAGGGAGCACCCTCTCAACGCTTGCGTAGCAGGTGTCCGTGCAAACCGTAAACCGTGACCCCCGACACGGTGACGGTGGAGCAGCTGATTCTCTTCCGAGCACAAGTACGAGCGGAAATCCCTCACACAGTCTTCACTTGAGGGGTTCAGGGGTGAGAGGTTTTTTGAAGCCTAGCGGAATCTAAAGCGACCCCCCAACCCCTTTCAAAGCCCTCCACAATCCTTTGCTTGGCCCTTTTTGGTTTCCCTTGAACTACCTTTGTTGGACAGGCGCAAGTGATCGAAGTCAGGATCAACCTGATTGTTGTGAAACAAAGCGACTCTCCAATTACAGGTGCAACAAGGCAGCTTCGTTGATTTCCCCACAAAAATGGCTTCGCATGTAAGGCAAAGTAAGGGGTGATATGACAAAGCAGATCTGGCGACAAGGGAGTTCAACAAAACCGAACGGGTGCCGGGCCGAATGGTATCGAGCGGCACCTGAAGGTTGCTGATCGGTGAAATGCGTTGCTTCTGACACCCTAGGCATGCTTTTGAAACTGCTGCATTTCACGGGTTCCCGAACTATGGACTAGAATCATACATCTTATTCTTTGTTGGGTGGCAAAAACTTAAGTCGTGTGATCCAATCCCCCAAAAGTATGTGGAAACCCGCTGAATAAGGGAAATCTTCCTCAATAGCACTCAAAAGCATGCAATTTTTCTCAGTTGGTTTAGATGTAGAGGGAGATGGTTACCCTCACCAATTAGCATGGAACCTGGCAGCGGGTCCCTTGAAAAGGGAAATTGTTTTCCAGGACCCCCCTTGTCAGGTTCCATGTTGATTGGTGGGAGGGTACAACGCATTACAACACTAGGATCCTTCCGAAGTCCAGCTTCAACCATTTGTGCCACAGAAACCAGCTCTGATTCCACAAGGAAAGCAGCTAATTCGAGGGTACTTTGCTGGTAGATGGTTTATCACCATTCATAGGGCTTCATACGGTGCGAAATGGATTTTGTCATTCACTGTACAGCCCCATTGGAACAAATCATGTATGGGGGGGGAAGTGGCCACTTGAGGAGGCAGGTTACTTTGTAAGTGGTTTGTACCTCTGGTAAAGAACCTCTTGGTGGTCTTACAACCATAGCAAATAAGTTATGACCATGGTTACTAACCACTTGCTAAGTATCTTGCCCCTTCAAGCACGTTGTTCCCCATTGGGCACAGGGGTGTTTTTCGCTTTGCATTCAGGTTGATGCAGCTTGCCTGGACCTTGCAAAATCCGGGGGAGGGGGGGGCGGGCGCTGGTGTTTTTGGAGGGGCGCCCGTCCCTTTTTGGAGTGTTTGTTTTTTAGAAAACGAAAGGGAGAACCGAAATCCACTTTGGCATCTAGATCCTAGGGTTAAGACGGGGCCTCCGCAAATTTATGCTTGACAGCTGGCTGAAAAGATCATTCTTGTGGCCAATTAAAGTGAGTTTCCTTTGTGGCCAATCAAAGGGAGAGTTTCCTTTTGGTGTGATGCTTAAAGAGGAAGTATGGGGAGGCCTTTGAGATACCTATAAACTGTTTTGAGTTTTGAGAACACTGGCGGCAAGCCTCCTCTTTTCAGCCTGTCACCCCCCTTTGGCTGTTCGCATACGGGTCGAGTCAATATCACCTTCACTGACTGCTTCGGAAGTTAGACTTGAGCCTCGCAGACCCAACGGTTCCAGTCTGACGGTCTGCAGGTGTCTTGTGCTCTTTGTAGAAAAGAGGCTTGCAACCCTCAAGGGTTTGCACCCAAAACTGTTACTGTTCATCGTTTTTCAGGAAAATGATTATTTTCCTGCTTGCTGTTGAAGTTTAAACACGGATGCTGCAAAAACAATGTGGGCTGGAAGACCGTACGTGTTGCTGAAAGGAATCCTTCAATTGCATTTATTCCAGTGCATGTATGCGTTACTTTTGCATCAGTCATGGGCCGTGCGGACATTTCGCTTTGGACATACCATTCACGAGCAAGTTCATAAGGCATTCAACCCGTTCACGGACCGTTCACAAAGCGTTCGCATGTCGTACATTTGGTTTTCAAACACTGTTATGGTGCTCGAATTTTCAATAACAAAGACCATGTCGTTTCTCTAAGTAATGTTGAGAAAGAGCAATGTAAGGGCCTCAGCGGGGGGGTTGACTTGGTGTTAGCTGAATTTTTACCACTTAGCCACCCCAGACTGCATTAGCATCAGGGTCAGGACAGTCACAATTGTTCAAGCAACCTCCATTTGAATGGATTTGTTTGGTTGTCCGAACTGATTTTGCCGCAACCCCCTGGTTGCCCATGTAATTTTGTGCAACTTTCCCTAAACCCCGCATTTCGGACCAGCCAGGAAAGATAATGAACATGCATGCGCGTCCTTTGTGGTTGGTGTGCTTCAAAATAACAGGCCCTGGTTCAGTTTGATTTTATGGATTTACCAGGGCCATCTATTCTACCAAAAGGACAGACACCTAAGCAGCCTGTGTATGGACGTGTATTTCCATGTCTTCCCCACCCCGGCGATGGCTCGCGGACTGGGGCCTTGGGGGCCTTGGGCACCTTGGGCCTCGCGCGGCTGGACCGGAGGCCAGGAGCCACGGCCTGAAGCACGAGGAGCAGATGGGCCTGAAGCGCACGGACGCTGAGATCGAGAGCGCGCGGTTTCAAGGGATCTCTGTTCGTAGAAAAAAAGCCCGCCTCACCTAGCCAACCGAGGAGCCAAACAAGAAAACAAACAAGCAAAGAAATAAGCAAAGAAACTTGCTGGTGCGAGAGATGCAAGCAATGAGAATTGGACTGACCCAACTGGAATTGCGCCTTGGTGGGTACCTTTCAGGGAATCCCTGGGTTCATTCCCAGATTCCGTACAAGCATGTAAAGCAGCCAATCAAACAACCAATCGACGAACCAAACAAACAACGAACCAAGCAACCAGACATTCAGCCAACCAATCAATCAAGCAAGCAAACCTAAGGACTTATCTAGAAGATCACCTTGATTTGTTTCTAGATTTAGAGGATCCAAAGCTGGAGCATTTGCAGGTTTGGGACGTATCCTTTGAGGAACACGGTGATTGAAGTTGTTTAACAATTTGACAATGTTTGGTGTACACCTGGGCGAAAGTAGATGGCGCAATGCCCTTATTTGGGTCAATGACGATAAGCATACATGGGTGAATTGTGTCATTTACCTGCAGCCAAGTGCACTGATTGGGGGTCAACAGGAGAGGTAGTAGGTGTTGAGCTCATGTACAAGAAAGCACGGTAGCTGTTTCAGGGAAGAGAGGCATGCACAAAAATGTGCAGCATCGAAGAATCAACTCCGCCGCCCCCACCAATCCTCAACCCCCTCTAACCCCCGTCACCGCTACTGCGGCAATTTCAGCAGTTTCCCTTGTATAGACTAAAACCAAGGATTCCGAACCCTTTTCAGGAAATCAAGAAACCCCTGGATATTGGCGTGGGGGTTGCTTAAAAGTCAGGCCCCATGATGTATGGATGGTATGTCCCCTTCAGCCAGAAACCCAAACGACATATGCAACCAAAAGACAACTTTTAAAGTTTAAACCCAAAATGGCACTTTCAACATATTTTTTTGGACCCCTGCCCAAACCTGACACAAATCTCAATTTGAGTTGTAGCAAAACGTGACATTTGGGCAAATGTCTATTCACAAACCGAAGATAAGAAGTTCCCAAGAGATTCTTCACGGGTGCGCCTCGTATTGCCGAATCATGGTAACCTGAGTCCAGGCGATATTGAAAGGCACCAAAAGAGGGAATTTTTAGGGGAACCTTGAAATATGGGAATATTCAGTATCCGAAGTAGAAGAAGGCTAAACGAGCAACATTTCATGTGCAAAGCTCAGCAGATGACCTTGGCACCGTTGTGGTGGTTGCGGGGAGCTATACAGCCAAGGGGCGGACAGGGAATTGCACGGGGTGCCCAATATGTTCAGGTACCTTCATTTGAACGATCTCAGCCAGTGGTGATTTGATAAGGTTTGGCGAAATGATTGAACCAGCCTATCCCTGGTTCCCTTTAGAGGGAAACCAGAAGGAGGCTGGTCCAACCGTCGTGGCTCGAATATGTTTAAACAGGGGGGTGGCACTCTACTGGATTTGACACTCTTACAGAATTTCGCCTTTGACAGGCTGGCACCAGGGGTTGACTACAACGTTTGAATGAGTAGAACAGGGTTGGGTTTGGTTTCAGGTTTTGAGGGTGGGTCCTTGGCAGCCACTGGGCAACCAGGTCACAAGAAATGTGTGTGTGTGTGTGTGTGTGTGTGTGTTTCTGTTCAGGCGGGTCAAAGGGAAGACACCATCAAGCCACCATTTCGGGGTCCCCGCATTTTGACACATACCCAAAGTTGGCATTAGCAACAAGATTGGAGCTTCCTTCAAAGGAAATCCAACTGAGGGTTTGAACAGTCATGGAGCTGCACATATTACGGGCATTTGGCCCAGCCCTGGAAAACCTCAACTCGGGGGGCCCTGAGCTTCATATTTTGTCGCTCTATCATGCACGTGGGAGGTAATAGTGCTTGATAATAGTGCTTGGCACATGTGCATAATCTTGGTGGGCCTGCTCATCCTGCCAATCAACCAACACATTTCCACACTATTGCCAGCTCCTCATATTTGAATCAGAGGTGTGTGCACTTTCAGGGCTACAACGAGCTAGGAATAACACGAGCTCACCCATGATGAAAATTCCGTCCTCGGAATCTTCCCGATTTTTCCGGCATTGCTCAAAATAGGGTCCCCGGAAAACGGTTTGTTCCCTTAGAAAGCCTTCATTTCCAGAGCACTTGTTGGGCGCTCCGGAGTCGATGTGAGGCTTGAAGCAGCTGGAAGCGACCCCGGAGGCCTTTATATTGCCTCTTCGTTGACTTCCAATGGATCCGAATGAAGGTTGCGGGTGCTGAGTTGCTCTAAGATTCCTGAGCAAGCAAGCGCTGTCCGGCGAACAGGGTTTCTGGACCAGCTCAGGCCCACCTAGGATTCCACGAAGGTTTCCTATAGGAGATATGGGGAGTATTTTTTGCAAATGACCCTCTTGTCCATTAAAATTAAACTTACCACAAGGTCCCTGTTGGAGGAGAATGGTCTCCCAGGAACCCCCTAATTTGTCAGATTCCATGTTAGTGGCTGGGAGTAACAGTACGAGGAATCTTCCTTTGGGAGGGACCTCGTTTCGCGCCGTTTTCATGTTCACTGAGTATTTGGGGGATCCTCCTTCCAAGGGACACTAGGTGATGCGCGAAAGGGAAGTACGTATAGACCGGGATCCCTGTCGGCAACAATTCAGACAGCTACGCTCGGCACAGGCATGTCCCAGCAGGCCACCAAGAAAAGAGAGCTACGGAACGGTCTACGGAACGGTGACGAGCGGGGGAGTCTACGGCCGTAAACCCAAAGGCATTTCAACGCACTACAGATAGCCTGCACGAAGCTGTGCGCGATGTGCCTTGGCCAAGACACATTTTTGTCACAGGAGAACCATTACCCTTCGATCAGAATCCCTGGATCGAAGAACCTTTCCCATGAGTGGCTCTTGTGATGGGTTGTGTGTCGCTCAGGTGCAAAAGGGTGGCTTGGATGTGTTCCGGGAGAGCCCTTGAGGATCAAATCACCTGCTCCCACCAGCCAATTCGGGACCATCTGACTTTCAACTGAAGAAGCGGGTCTTTTGGTGCAACTGCTAAATTTTAGAAAGGGAGACGACCCTGCAAAGAAAGAGTTTCCACCTCCAAGTCCTTTGGAAAGCTTGAAGTTTGACCTAAGCCGCCTTCCATACTACATTAGATTAGTCTGCCTCGCAAAGGTTTTTGCTTGTGACCGAAAACTGATGCCGGTTCTGATAGGTGTGTTCCCTTATCTCGGTTGGTTAAAGATCAGCTCAATGGAACTTGACCTTCAGCGCGCCCTGATGGGGGTCAAACCTTTAGTCGGAGTTTGCTTGAGGATTGTTTCCATTCTGCGACTTTGAAAACAGTAAAGGACCGACCTAAAGGATCCATTGTCCATGGGCCGCCATAGTTTGGACCACGGCCTGTGACTGTTGTGGGATAAAACGGGTTGCCACCTTTGCTTGGACTCAGGTAAGCATGGTCACCCGTGATCGTCCCATGTTATTTGCCTGTTTTATGGCGAGTTCCAGATGGGGGGGAAACTGAGCTCACCATACTATAGGTCCCGTAGTTCAACACCTGCAGATTACACCAGATTTAGGCATCATAGGATACTAATAGTTACTAGCATGGTACAATAGCTTAGCTGGATCATGCCCCATTTTATAACTATCAGTGAGTCAGACATGGCCACTGCCCCGCACTTCTCTTGACCCTCCCGACAGGCGCCCGGTGCTGGCATGAGACCTCAGGGTGAGGTTTCGACCGGGGATGAGGTTTTACGGTTGGGCGGTTCTGATTTGGGGTCCTCAAAAAGGATCGGTTTCAAATGTTCGAAGGGCCCGAAAGGGCTGTCGCTTCTGTTGATCATTCGAGAACCCCACAATTTCCACCTCCCCATTTTGGTTTAGTTATGCCCTGCACTTACCCAAAGGGAGGTTTGCCATCCATTTGGTTGGGGTGTAACAGCCAGCCTGGTCCTGATTTGAAGACAGAGTGGCTTGAGCATTAGACAAAGGGGCGGGCTGGGCCAACCATGGCCAACCATGGCAACTCGCTTGCTTTTGGTTTCTCAGATTGACGTGGTTTTTGTTTGATTGTCTTAATGTTTCAGGTTTGCCATAGGGGTTGCTGGGTTGTTGAAGACCTGTTAGCCTTTTGCGCATATTCTTTGTGTTGAGCCCTTGTTCTTCAAATTCCAGTCTATGTATCTAAGTGCACTTTGTATATTATGCAAACTCAAACTGGCAAAGGCATCTATGGTTCAGCAGCAGCTACAAATCCCTAGCCTGAGCGGGACGGCCAACTTTGTGTAAATGTATATGATTTGACCTTTGTAGCTTAGCCTTGACGTTGGTGAATGCGCTTGCGCTTAAACTGTAAACCTATCAGGACACCAATATTTAGCCATATTTTTTTCGGGATCACATACGCAAAATCACCGCAAATACTGGTGGATGCGTCCAGGGTGCAGATCCTAAAAGGGGTGTTATATAACTAGATGTCAGCTACATGTCTATATATATATATATATGTATATAATATTGTAAACCATATGCATCGTTGCTTTTGAAACGTCTGTGTGCAATGCGTATTGCAAGCAATATGTATCTTTGCCATTGAAGCCTGGTTGTGCTAATTCCAGTCTATATCTTTAGATCAATATTTGCATACTTCTACTCCATCCATGCTTTCAAAAACGCACTCCCCGCAGCAGGCCGCTCTCGTGGCTTTTGGGTCGGTCCCCAACCTCGTTATTGTTGGTCATTTTATCCGAAACTCAATGTGATTGTACTCTCCTCAATTCCAGCAACCTGTCCAATGAACAGTGGCTGCCATGAGCATGCCAAGGCGAGAAGAAAACAGAGCCCTACCAGTGAGGGCGGTGCACTTTCTGGACAGAATAGAACACCGCGTGTTCTCACCGCCCAGCCCCTTGTTTTCTCTCAGCATGATGCATGTTGCAAACACCTTTGCTTCTGGCTGGCGGGTCGACTGCATGGACAAGATGTCTCACTGCATGTACATAGCGACCCGGCAAAGGTAAGATTTGACTCGAACTCCAGTGCCTCAAACCACCACCCCCCCTGTACCCTCCCTGTGTTTGCCTAGTTGTGATATTCCACGAGTTTCTGCATGAGCCCGGTGATTTGCGGGGAGGGGGGGAGGGGGGGGTAGTGGTTGAACCGCTAAGATTGATGGGGCTCATGTCAATGCAATTCGAACTAGCTTGGCAGCGTTGGTTCCAAAGCCTCGCACATGGGGCACTCACGCTCAGTGAGTGAGGGAAGGAGGAGACGGGCGGGCAGGCTTCCAAGTGATAAACCACTCATGATGATTGTGGTAGAAGAACCCAGCATGGCAAGCGAAATGACAAGGCGTTGTAGGACGGCAACCGGAATGGGTTAATTCATTGAGGGGATCCAGGGGGGCATGCTCCCCCGTTATTCGATGGTTTAGGGGTTATCAAAAGCGGTTAGAAGCTGCGGGGCTTATCCGTTTCTTCTACCACATAAAGGGTGACGTTGAGAATGGTGGAAGCGGGCCAATGCAGATCGTTTTGGACCTGCCTGCACGACTGAGTCAGGAGCACATTTACAGCGATTTGGAAGGAGTTGTTCCTGGAGCCTTTAACGTGAAAAGCAAATTGTTGTACCTTCAATAGACCTCCAGTGGGTGCAAACCATTTGTTATTATTTTCTTTCTTTTGTTTTGGGGGGGTTTCCTGTTAAAGCCAAAGCCGGCTACCAAAAGAGGGTGTCATGTTTTTCTCCATGACCAGTGGGGGTCTGGCCGTCGTGGCCCTTGGGGTGTTTGTTGCATGTGTCGTTTTGCATGCTCCTTTTCATCCTTTCCTTCTCAAGCACCACGGGTCTTCCGGGACCATTTTCGCGCCGCTGCTGCGAAGGCTGAGTTCGGACCCCAGCATTTGCGCAGCGGTCCTTCGGAAGATTTGGGGTCTAGGCTTCAACCTCCAAATGACTTTGAATTTAATATAGGAAACCCCCTCCCTGAATGGTTAGGGTCCTTCATTGGATTTCAATGCACGCGGTATAGAAGCCATAATATCAGAGATGGGATTTTGCGGCATGTACTCAGTACTCTGGATGGGCCCAACAGAGGGGGGGAGGATTCTAGGAACCTTGGAGAATGCCACACAACTCACCCACCTCTTTGAGCCAAACCCCCAAACTCACAGGTTGTTTCACAAGGTTGGGACAGGATAATTTCCATGGCACCAAGTTGGAATCCCTTGAAATTGATAGCGTAGGCATGGGGATGGGAATCCCACTTTGTGAAGTCCTTGGCTTGCTAAGAAGCATGAGCAGAATGGACAAGGAAGGATTTCCTTGAGTGACTTGAAAAGCAAAGGCAATGGTCACTTGCGAATCGGCTCCAATGATTTCAGGTACCCACCCCCATTCGAGAATCATTTGGACCGCGCATAGGGAAACATATGCGTGCCCGAACGATCATGACTCGAATGCACAGTACCCCACAACGACCCTTCAAGGGGACCCCCGCAATCATGACGACCCTTAGAGTGTGCCCAAAAAACCTCTTGACTAACTGCTTTTCCTTTGGGTGTCTTTATCATCCGAAAGGGGATTCTTTAATTTCGCGGGAAAAAGAAAACTACTCTCAAACGGCACCCTCCAATGTTGACACCCTGTTTGATGGGTACTTTGTTACTTTGTTTCCCTAAGAGGATCAAAAGGTTCCGCCCTGCGTGGTGTTGGTGACAAGCTCGCGACTTGGGACGTTGGGTGCTTTCAAAAAGCATCCCAAGCGAAAGGGTTCAGGACAGCAGCCTTCGGAGAGCCAATTGGACCCAAGTGAAGACCAAAGGCTCTGCGATCGCCGGGAAGGATTCGACAAATCGACCGCATTTCGGAGAGTGGTTTCAAGGGTCGCACTTTGGGCTTTGTGCCTCGGGGATTTGGTCCCACAGTTGCTTTCCTGGGGTCTAATATTTAGGTGACTTATAATTCACCCAGATGTGCTTCGAGTGTATCTCTCTCTCTCCCTTTGGTGTGTGGGTCACGGAGGAAATGGAACCCTGTTGTTTCCCACAAGGGCATGGCAATTAAGTAGGCCTGCTGGAATTTGGCTGGGCCCCCTCTTCGTTGGTTCAAACTAACCACAGGCGATCAAGAGTATTGACTTGCTGCACTTGAGTCGTTCAAACCGTCCTGGTCAAAACTATTTGAGTCGTAAGGAACTACTGTACACCAAGGTGCTTGCACGAGCTTACAGGAGCACAGGGGTAGCCTACGCGATCGCCCACACCACTGCCCTTGCGCAACACACTTGCACGGCCTTACGCTGCCATATGGTTGCCTTGCCAGCGGGCCCTGATGACCTTCCCGCCTTCAATCGCAACGCAAAGTGGTTTCGACCCCTGCTTGCTCTTGAAAGTATGCAGGACCATGCTACCCCTGCAGCAAAAGGCAGGCCTTAAACTTAGGTGGCCCTAGCTTTGATCGACTCATCTCAAGCAGATACTCCATCGGCCATGTTCATGGTTCTAGAAAACTCTAAGAACAAACAAGCAACAACATTTTTTAAAGAAGCAGTTTTTTGTTTGTCAACCCCCGAAGAACACAATATGTCAGGCCCACAGGCCCTGTATGCCCGCTGAAGGCGACCTGAGTTCCTTGCAACCCACTTCCTGACTTCACTGGGACTTAAGCATCCTTTGGTAGCCTTTTTAGGAACTCCGGAGCAGCCTTGTGCCTCCTTTAATGTGAGATGCCGCAAAGGGCCCCTCATTTGGGTTGGTGGGCTTCTTTGGATTTCTCTTTGTTTCAGAAACAGATCTGGGTTGCCGTGAACATGTGATTTTCGTCTTTGCCCCATTGATGTTTGGTCACTTGTGTAGTTTCTTCACTTTTGTTGTCATGGTGGCTGAAAGTAGGATTCCATTGATTTCGAGTTTGCTTCCAATTGTTTACCACTGGAATCCATCTATTTGTCCCAAAGGACACCAAGCAATATGAAAAAGGCCCCCCAAAAGTCGTTCCGCCTTGAAGTATGCCACCCGCGCCAACAAAAACGGCCACAGGACCGTCCCACCCGCCCGCCGGCCCGTCTCCACTCGGCCGAATTGGGTTTCCACTGAGGAAATCAATGCCGCATCCGGGCGATGCCGAGGCCAAGTGCGAGGGTTTTTCGGCCTCGTGGGAATTGTCTTGCTGAGGCTCGGTTCCTTTTTCCACAAAATTGGGGTTGGTTTACGGGGAACCAGGGGCCAATCATTTGGTCACCGTTTAAGTAGCCACAAAAGGGTGCCCTCGAAAAATGACACCCACATACGAGCGTCCTAAGGCAGGGTGGTGGATTCGAGAATTTCTTACTTTTGGTGCTGGCCAGCTCCAATTCTTGTTCTACCAACTGGAATATGGGACCACCAAGAATGGTTGGGGTCTATGCGATCTCCTTTCGAAGAGTCCTGATATTTGATCATTCCTCAGCGTTGACACCAAGATGAAAGTAACATGGCGCAATTAGTAACATGGAATTGACTAAACAGCAATTGGGGAATTGTGCCTGCTTTCCAACCCAACTGGGTTCCCGCACCCGACAATTTGTTGAACACCTGTTGGCGGAATGGACAGTGGCTGTGGCCCGGCAGAGCAAGGCAGACAGCCAAGGAACAAACAAGCAACACGATATGTCCATGCGGCAAGCATCGAGACATGCAATGCTGCAAGTCTGCTAGCCCAAAATCCCTTTTGCTCACTTCGCCCCACGCACCCCATGTTCAGAGCCGTTCCCCATTCGGAGCCGTTGCCTTTGGGGAAGTTGCTCTGGTTCTCAGGAAGCGGGGGTTCTGCTAAACTTAGTTATCCCCGAAGAGGCCACTGGTTGGGGCCGAAACGGAATTCAAAGGAAGCGCCCAGTTCGCTTCGCTGCCGTTACTCATTGCTGCAGGCGGGCGGTGTGCAGATCTCCGTGGAGGTTTGGGAAACTTGTTCCGTTCGAAGAGAGTTGCTCGGGCACGCGGTGTTTTCGGTGTTTCTTTTTTGTGTTCTGCGTTTGCGCCTGTGTTTTGTGTTTTTGCCTTGTGTGTTGGCTATTTACTGTTTGTTTGTTTGTTTGTTTGTTTGTTGTCCGTTGTGTTAGAGTTTTTGCGTGTGTGTTTGTTTCCTTGGTGTGCTTGTGTGTGTGTGTGAGTGCGTGCGTGCGTGCGTGCGTGCGTGCGTGCGTGCGTGCGTGCGTGCGTGCGTGCGTGCGTGCGTGCGTGCGTGTGTGTGTGTGTGTGTGGGTGTGTCTGTGTGTCTCTCTGTGTGTCTCTGTGTGTCTGTGTGTGTCTGTGTGTGTCTGTGTGTGTCTGTGTGTGTCTGTGTGTGTCTGTGTGTGTCTGTGTGTGTCTGTGTGTGTCTGTGTGTGTGTGTGTGTCTGTGTGTGTGTGTCTGTGTGTGTCTCTGTGTGTGTCTCTGTGTGTGTCTGTGTGTGTCTGTGTGTGTCTGTGTGTGTCTGTGTGTGTCTGTGTGTGTGTGTGTTTGTGTGTGTGTGTGTTTTATTGTACGTTGCTCGCTTGGCTTGCTGGCTTGCTTGCTTGCTTGCTTGCTTGTTTGTGTTGTTTTCCGTTTCTTTTGTTTTTTTTTTCATTTTGTGTTTGCTTGCTTGTCGGTCTGTCAGGCACTTGGTTGGTGCGATGTGTGTGTGTGTGTTGCTTCCTTGTTTGGTGTTGGGTTGCCTCGCCTTGTTTGATTGGTTGGGTGCTTGCTAGCTTGGTTGGTTGTTTGGATGGATGGTCGTGTTGTTGGTTTTGTATTGCTTGTGCGCTTTATTGTTTTTGTTTTTCAAAAACAATGTGTCTGTCTGTCTCTCCCTCTCTCCCTCTCTCCCTCTTTCCGTTTGTCCGTCCGTCCATCCGTCTGTCTGTCTGTCTGTCTTTCTGTCTCTACCTCTCTCTCTCTCTCTCCCTCTTTCTTTTTGTCCGTCCCATTGTGTGTTCATGTGCTTTATATTGTTTTCTGATGTGTGGTTTATTGTAGCTTGCTTGTTTGGTTACTTTTTGGTTGTTTATTGCATGTGTTGTTGTGTCGTTGTCTGTTTGGTTTCTTGGCCGGTTTCGTTGTTTTAGTTGTTTCTGTTGTTGCGCTCTGCTCTGTAAGGTTGCTTGCTTGCTTAGCTTGCTTGCTTGCTTGCTTGCTTGCTTTGCTTGCTTGCTTGCTTGCTTGCTTGCTTGCTTGCTTGCTTGCTTGCTTGCTTGCTTGCTTGCTTGCTTGCTTGCTTGCTTGCTTGCTTGCTTGTTTGTGTTGTTTTCCGTTTCTTTTGTTTTTTTTTCATTTTGTGTTTGCTTGCTTGTCGGTCTGTCAGGCACTTGGTTGGCGCGATGTGTGTGTGTGTGTGTTGCTTCCTTGTTTGGTGTTGGGTTGCCTCGCCTTGTTTGATTGGTTGGGTGCTTGCTAGCTTGGTTGGTTGGTTGGATGGATGGTCGTGTTGTTGGTTTTGTATTGCTTGTGCGCTTTAATGTTTTTGTTTTTCAAAAACAATGTGTTTGTCTATCTCTCTGGCTGTCCGTCTCTCCGTCTCTCCCTCTTTTCCTCTCTCCGTCTGTCCGTCCGTCCGTCCGTCCGTCCGTCCGTCCGTCCGTCCGTCCGTCTGTCTGTCTGTCTGTCTGTCTGTCTGTCTGTCTTTCTGTCTCTATCTTTCTCTCTCTCTCTCTCTCTTGTTGTCCGTCCCATTGTGTGTTCATGTTTTTTTCCTTTTTTTTTCTCCTGATGTGTGGTTTTTGTAGCTTGCTTGTTTGGTTATTTTGGTTGTTTATTGCATGTGTTGTTTTGTCGTTGTCTGTTTGTTTTGTTTTGCTGGTTCAGTTGTTTTAATCGTTTATGTTCTTGCACTGTGTTCTGTATATAAGGTTGTTTGCTTGTTTGCTTGCTTGTGTTCTAGTTTGTCATTTGCGTGGCTGCTGCTAGGCTTGACCAAAGTCACAAAAAATCCTTGACACATGTGGCTGTCCACGCTACAGCAATCACCACGAGTGCAAGTGTTTGCCAGGCATCAAAGGCACCACCAGGTGGTTGCATTACTCCCCGAACCACTGGGGCACGTCATCTTCAATTTAAAGAGTAGAGATGGCATGGTCAACATGCAATCGTTTTCACCAGCTGCCTCCGCGAACCTCCCATTCAAGTGGAATATGTCAAGCTGACGAATGGTATGCTGCCCTGACTCCCCTTGCTGTGGCAAACGGCATGCGATCTCGCAATATATGTGCCACGGTCCAAGACCTGCTTTGGGGGCGTCAAGGATGTTGATTACTCCCTCAAGTGACGGTTAGACAGTTTGTAGGATTTCGGTGCGTGGTGGGACCATGCCCGTGCATTCTGGGGAAACAAAGCGACGCAAAACTAAACAGTTTTCCATTTGGAGGGTGCCTGGTGTCGGCAGAACATGTTGATTGCCCTTCCATTGATCATTTCATTTCAGAGACACGGCACTGGCAATGCATCTTGGCAGGAGATCGACCCGGGCATGCCAGCGCACAAGGCGGGCTCAAGCCATCGATTTGGCAGGAGAGGTGCGAGCTTTCTGATATCCTCAGCCCAGATGAACATGCCCGATGGCCCTTCACCTGGAGTGTCCTGCAAAATTGAATTACTCGATTTTCTGGGTAAATGCGAAGTGGGCCAAGCAACGAGGGATCACGCGAATAGTGTCTTTTTGGCGCAATTGTTGTTGGTTTCATTGTTGGAGCGCACCCCTCAACTCTATCAGGCTGTTTTGTGTCTGCCAGCAACTGTGACACTATACTCAGGAGGGGGATGGTGGGAGCTTCACGGCTTCCAGTTAGACATGGGCACTTCCTCATGCCAAAAGAACCCCACAGTGGTTCATGCCTCAATGATGCATCAGGATTGCAGTCCCCTTGAAGAGAGAAATCTCTGCTTGGAAGGGCCCTAGTGAGGGCTGATGTCTCATAGATGGCAGGGCACTGTGCGTAATAATATTCATGAGTATGTAATGTTGGGCCCTCTTTGATGCATCCCCCCCCCAGCAATGGAACCAGTCACCGCGGTCCTGTTAAGTGGAACGCCTGGGGGTCTGGGTGGGACTTGGACTTGCCAGTGGTTGACACGCCAGTGAGGCGTTGCAAATTTAGACGGAGAGTGTATAAACAGTGCAGGTGACATTTGCTGCTTTAGGTTCATGCGAAACTCCTTGCCTTGCTTTGCCTGCCGTGCTGTGCTTCACCGGAAAATCACTCCTCACAGGGAGACTTCCGTCACCCCTCTATGAACTATGCACATTATATTTTATAGGCATTGATCATACAGGCCACAAGAGCAACTGGGTGTGTTGAGGAATCCCACCTAGGCTGTTGAAAGCCCATCTCTAGAGACACGCCAGGGACGGAGCCTGACATGGCCAAATGTTCAATCCTGAGTCTTCTGGTTGACGGAGCGAGAACCTCTAAGAGTCTAAAACTGGTTGGTTTCCTTTGGGCTTTCCCCTCAAACCCAACCACACATGGCACTCCCTGGCTGAGAGGATCCATGGGTTTGAACGAGCATATGACCAGCATGCCTTTGGCCACGGTTGTATCAGGGCTGAACCTGCTCTGGGCTGCTATTTGGTCGGACCTTTAACAGGGCTCCTGAAAAGATACATTTTGCCCATTTGAAACATGGCTTTTTCGGTGTATAATGTAAGGATCCCTGTTTAACCTTTGAAGCTTACCCCTGTTGATCAGGCTTCTGGCCGTACACCAAACAGAGCTTTAATACACCAAAAGGTGCGGGTTTTCAACCGATCCGGCCAGGCCTCTCACGTGACGCACTCCTCTTCTGTTCTGGGCCCTGGATGTGCTTTCTGGGTGCGTGCTGGTTTCCCCAAGTCCAAAGGTAACAACCATGGCCAAGAGTTTTACTGGGCAATATGCTTCCAAATAGTTGGTGGACACAAAGTTGCACCTAAATCATGTCCACCAAAAGGGTTTTCAATTAGAAGGACTCTCAGCAGTAGTGAGGTCCCAGATCGGCAACCGGATTTGTGCTTGCGCAGCTGTGCTTGGAAGCATTGGACGCATTCTCTAAGAAGCTTTTTGACAAAAGGAGGAAGGAGTGCCTTCAGTGGTACCCCCTGGCAGAGAGGTACCCAAATGGAAAACGGGATTTTCCTGGGGACCGTATAAACAAACATGAACTCCTGACATGTCCTAATGAAGCTGTTCATTCAAGGAGAGACATTTAAGCTGAGCCTTCCCGGTTTCCGCAAAGGTTCTCAGAACACCTTCGATCAGAGCCAATTTAGGAGGTTCCTTGGGGAGTGGGGAGGTCTTTGGTTTCTTCCTAGCAATTGCTCAAAATTGCTCAGGAGGAAGAGTTAGCTCAAATAGGCAAGGAAGAGAGGAGCAAGGGCGAGGAAGAAATAGAACGAAAAGGAATGGAAGGGGAAGGACACCCAAAAACCACAAACCCACTCCACCCTAAACCCACCATGAAGCCCTACACCTACCACAAACCCAACCTGAATCGTCCAAACCCACAAAATCATTGTAGACCGCCTCTACAACTCATCCTACTCCAACCCGAAACTACCCGAACGTCCGCTTTCAACCAACCTGAAACAACCCTGAGCCCAGACTAAAGCTACCGTAAGCCAATGCTCAGCCCACTCTCAAATAACATTGAGCCAGCCATAAACCTAGCCTAAATGAGCCTGAAACCAACCCCAAACTCATCCAAATCCATCCTGACCAACTTGAAACCAAGCAATTACCATCTACTTGCACCCAACATGATTTTGGGGTAAAGATGCCTTTTGTGACTGAACCGGAAAGAAACAGATACGGTCAGATCCGATGCTCTGAGGCCAAGGGGGGTTCGTCAATGGCCCTGCAAGCGGCGGCCAGAAAGCTCAGCCCGCAACCTTCGGCTGATGGCTTTCGGATCGATTCCTTGTAACTCCAAGTGATGTACGAAAAGAGGTGCAAGTTATGGCTAGATTGGGATGCCATTTGGATGATTTGTGGCGAACTCGCTCTGGAGTGAACTGAGCTGAACCAAAATACTCAGATGCATCCCAAATATGAAGTGTTTTTGTTGTTTGTTTCCGGCATTGTTCGCATTATCGCGGTCAAGTTTCTTTACTACCCTTGAGTAGGTGGTATGGAAGGTCAATGGTACTTTGCTTACAAGCATCATTTAATTGTTGCT